TCCTGCAAGGCCTTCGGCGGAGGCTTCGAGGCTGCCGCCATGGCGTCCAGCTGGCCTTGGTACCTGGCCGCGGTGGCCTGGTCACCTGCGCGGCGTGCCAGGGCGACCAGCATATGGAGCTCCTTCGCGTCCGTCGGGGCGTCTGGACCACGGCCGCTGCTGCCCGTGCCCTGCGGCGCTCCTCCAAGCTGAGGTCCAGGCGGGAGGGCAGACCGTTCTCCTGGGGGGTGATACCCAGGAGCGCGAGGAAGACCCTGAAGATGAGACCAAACGCCACGAGGAGGAGCATGCTGACTGGCCGAAGGAGCCTGCCTCGGCGACCCGCAGTGCTTGCAGTGCGACGCCCACACTGTGGTCTTGCCGCACCCGCACGCAACGCACTTCCAGCAGTCACTCCTGCCTGCCGCGCCGTATCCTTGGCCAGCAGCCCACTGGGCGCCCCCGCCGTAGTCGTAGTTACTCCAGTCATGCCTCTGCCAGCCCTTGGAGCCGCCGCCACGCCACGGGGGAGGAGTGCCTCCGCCGCCGCCGCCGCCACCCTTGTAAGGGCCATGGGACATCAGACTGACTGGGAAAGATGATCGAGAATATAGAGGCCAAAATTTTGACTCGCGGATCCCTTGCCGTTCTGAAGAGAGGACCCGCAAGCGCACACCTGCGCCAGAACGGCTGAAAGAGGACGAGGAGGAGAAAGAGGAGGAGGAGGAGGAGGAGGAGGAGGAGGAGGAGGAGCAGGAGGAGCAGGAGGAGGAGGAGGAGGAGGAGGAGGGTGGGAGGAGGACGAGGAGGAGGAGGAGGAGGAAGGAGAAGGAGGGCACTGACCGACCCGAGGCGGCCCACTAGGGACCCCTACGTAAGACGAGCTATCAAAAGGCTCCCCAGACGGCCTCGCACCGGTTCGAGGAGATTCCCAAGACCCGCCGCGCCGCGACACTGGATGAAGACCGGCAGAGGTCAGAGAGGCCCCCGGCACGCCAGCATCACAGCCACTGCACCTGTGGTCCCTGGTGCCAGGCTGTGCCTCCCTGGCACCTGGAACCTCAGAGCCACAGCTGCGGCACCCTGCTTGCATCATGTATGACACGGAGCGCACACCTCAACAAGCCTCTTACATCTCAGCCATCCTGTCGCATTTCGAATCCAATCGCACTGCCACTAAAATCGTGCCATGAAGCTGGCACGAGGAGGGTCGCGGAGGAGGAGGAGGAGGAGGAGGAGGAGGAGGAGGAGAGGAAAGGAGAGGACAACAGCACAGGCCAGTCGAGTCGAATTTCCCCCAAAGCATGTCAGCCACAGAAAGGCTGAAGCACCTGTGGGCGCTACTGGTTCCTGGTGCCGCGCCACATCCACGCGCGACCCTCCTCCACCGAGAACTGCAAAGACCGCACGGCAGTCGCGTGCTCCCTCCCTGCCGCCGCGAGCGATTCAGTCGGACCTAGGCCAGAGTAATATCCCTCAAGGACATGAGACCCTCCGTCGGCAAACCGAACAGAACATCCAGGGTACCCTCCCCAGGATGCGAAAGAACATCCCGCACACGCGAAGAGCACTACGGTACCCTCCCCCCTGACCTCGAATCTTCTACCTCGGTCCGTCTGCATCTGCGGCAGCCCCCCAGGTCTCTGACGTCGCCGTCCGCAGCCCCGAAAGATCCCCCCCTCGGGGGGGGGGGGGTGGGCTCTTGGATCGGCGTCCTCCTCCTCCTCCTCCTCGCCCTCCGCCTCCTTCCCTCCTCCTCCCTCCTCCTCCCTCCCCCGTCCTCCCCTCCTCCTCCTCCTCCTCCTTCCTCCTCCTCCTCTCCTCCTCCTCCTCCTCCCCTCCCTCCCGTCCTCCCTCCCTCCCTCCCTCCCTCCCTCTACTCCTCCTCCTCCTCCTCCCTCTCCTCCTCCTTCCTCCTCCTCCCCCTCCTCCTCTCCTCCTCCTCCTCCTCGTCCCCCCTCCTCCTCCTCCTCCTCCTCCTCCTCCTCCTCGTCCCGCGTCCCCCTCGCTCCTCCTCCTCCTCCTCCTCCTCCTCCTCCTCCGCCTCCTCCTCCTCCTCCTCCTCCTCCTCCTCGTCCCCCTCCCCCTCCCCTCCTCCTCCTCCCCCTCCTCCTCCTCCTCCTCCTCCTCCTCCTCCTCCTCCTCCTCCTCCTCCTCCTCCTCCTCCCGGGAGGAGGAGGGGAGGCAGGGGAGGCGGGCATGGCTCCGGGGGCCTCCGGCCCTCTGAGAAGCCTGCCGAGCCGTCTCTCCGAAGCTGCAGAGGGGCTTCACGGGAGGCCGCGGGGCTTCTGAGAAGCCCCGCCGCCTTCTGAAGAGCCCCCCCCCGCCGCTGGCCTCCCCCCTTCACGCGCGCCGCTGGCTGGAGCCTCTCGACCCGCGCAGGCGTCGAGCCGACGGCTCGTGGAGCATACGGCCCTTCTGCGGGGCCACGCGCGGCCCGCGGCGACCAGGCGGAGGTGCGGCTCCCGCTGCGCGTGGCCCCGCTGCTGCCCGTGCTGCCTGCCCTCCACCCCCAGTTCCCCCGCCCCCCCTCCCCCCCCCTCCCCCTCCTCCTCCTCCTCCTCCTCCTCCTCCTCCTCCTCCTCCTCCTCCTCCACAATTACACAATACGAATATATTCTCTCACTTCCCCTGATGGCGTCCCGAAGATATCCGACACCCCCCCGCGTATTGTTTTTTGTACACAGGATTCCCGGGAAACGGGTTTTCGCTTTTGTGTGTGTGTGTTTTATTAAAATGCTGCTCTCGCCGAGGCGCCGGCCTCATTTTCGGGCCCCGCTCGTTCCGAATCGTGCTCCCGCTGCAGCGCTGGCCTCATTTCCGCGCTTCCGCCCGTTTCGACTCGTGCTCCCGCTGCAGCGCTGGCGTCATTTCCCATGCCATGCCACAGCACACGCGCACACACGCACACACACACACCACACAACACCACCACCACCACCACCACCACCACCACCACCACCACCACACCAGACCACACCACACCACACCAACCACACCACACCACACCACCAGCAGCACCAGCACCAGCACCAGCACCAGCACCAGCACCAGCACCAGCACCAGCACCAGCACCAGCACCAGCACCAGCACCAGCACCAGCACCAGCACCAGCACCACAACCACGCACACACGCACGCACGCACGCACGCGCACCACCACCCACTAGTCCGCGGATAGAGAAAATCAGCGCCATGGAAGGGATGGAGGGAGGGGTAGGACGTCAGATATACGCGCGCGCACTACTAGCTTGTCCTCCTCCCCTCCCCTCCCTCCCCCTCCTCCTCCTCCTCCTCCTCCTCCTCCTCCTCCGCCTCCGCCTCTCCGCCTCCCCGCCCTCCTCCTCCTCCTCCTCCTCCTCCTCCTCCTCCTCCTCCTCCTCCTCCTCCTCCTCCTCCTCCTCCTCCTCCTCCTCCCCCTGAGGGGCAAGGTCAGGGGTGGGGGGCAAGGCACCTCGAGCTGGAACCGGCGATACGTCGCCGACAGGTCGGCGGCACGGTGGGGGCATCGGGCAAGGAAGCGTTGGAGAAGGGATCCAGGGTCTCGAGGCCAGCGGAACTCTAATCGTGGACTGGCCATGCGTGCCACTGCCGCCCTAATCAGATGAGGACCCCCCCCGGGTCTGCAGCCGCCTGAGCACATTCCTCAACCAACGTCCCCACCGTAGGAGCCCGATGGCGAAGCCGCGCAGTGGGCCGTCGGGCCCCCGTCTGCGATGGATGGGGCGATTGGTGGTCGATGCGTCCACCCCTGTGCACTAATCCCCCGCAAGCGTTGCCCCTGCCCCCCCCCCCGATCCGCCTTCATGGAACGCGCCACCGGAAGCCCCTGTGAAGTCAGACCCGAGTCCCCTCCTGCGGGCCCGTGGGCCCACGGGACGCCCGAGAGCGTTCAGCCTGGCCGACCGCGGGCAGGGGGGGGTAGGTCGCATGGGACAGACGGACACCGCCATTGTGGACGGACAAATTGCAACGAACCAAACCAACCTTAAAAAACAACGCACATGTGGCGCATTTTCTCCATGTGTACAAGCTGAAATTGGAAATTCCATAAGAAGTGGAAGTGGTCAGGGCTGGAACACCCGGCTGGGGTCGAACAGAATTCGAAACAACTGAGATGAGATCGCCAGGCCGGAAGAACTCCAGGGAAACTGGCCAGGGATGGAAAGAGTGGAAGGGCTGGTCCCCACTAAGACAAGCGCTTTCTAATACTCGCACAAGCAACTACTCGCAAGCGGCCTGGATCCGCCGCAGGGTCTACGATAGACTACATCGACAACCATGTGTTATTCGGACGTTTGCGGGTAGGCACTCTGTGAGTCGTGGAACGCACTCGGTGACCGCTGCCTTTTTCAGCTGCCCTGCAAACCATCCACTGCCGAGCTGTCTGCCCGTCCTTGAACGCCCCCGCCAGCAAAGGCTGCCGCGCCGAGATCCTCAGAGAAGGCCGCCCTGCTCGCGCCGACGGCCCTTGTTGGGTCAGTAGCAACTCCTGGAAGGTCTTCGTGAGAGCAAGTCAAAACTGTAAAACTAAATGAAGCAAACATCAAGCCGGATGAGCCTGGCTTAAGCCTAGGATTGAAAAAAATTAAGGTGACATCGGCCTGTCTTCCAGATGAAGCAACCATCAAGCCGGACGAGCTTGGCTTAAGGGTCAAAACCAGGATTGAGAAGGATTATGCTGAAGCAGGCCTGTCTCCTGCCACAGGTATGCCAACGCCGATGCTGAATTGAACCGCCAAGTGCTGATGTAACTAGGCCCGTCTTCGACCACACATGTACCAGGGCCGATGCTGAATTGAACCTAGACAGAGTGGCCTCCGAATTTAGCGGGCGAAGAACGGTATAAACTAAACTTTTCCGCCGCCAGGGGCGCTGCCCCAGTGCGGCGGGGAAGCTTGCACCTTGACGTGCCACCGTAAGGGCATAAACTTTCTGGCCGCCCTGGGACACGCGCCCCCGACAGCGATGCGCGCGCCGCCAGCGTGGCTATGCGGAGGTGCCGGGGGGGAGGGCGGCGGCGTCCCGATGGCTTGCCAGTAGAAGTCTCGGAGGCTCGTGCGCGAGAGCTGCTGGCTCGGGCCTCCGGCGCGGGGGCGCGAGCACATCCTTCGCCTCCTCCTCCGCCTCCGCCTCCTCCGCCTCCTCCTCCTCCTCCCTCTTCCTCCTCCCTCTTCCTCGTCGTCCTCCTCCTCCTCCTCCCCCTCCTCCTCCTCCTCCATCATCGTGCTGCTAATGCTTTTGCTGCCGCAGCCTTCTCCTCATCCTCCTTTTCCTTGTCGTATCCTTGACAAGAGTGCCATCTCGCCATGCACGAGCCCTGATCGGGCAGGCCCGAGCGCCGATCGGGCCTACGAAGAAGTCTCGGAAGGGTAGCACTTAGCAGCGAATCGATAAGAACGCGTACAAGGCCACAAAATTGTCCGACATGTGTGCAAAACCGCTGCCCAGAGCAGATGAAGATGATGCCGTCCCCCCCCCTCTCTTCGGCTCCTTCGCAAAAGGCCGGGCAGTGTGCCATCCAGCGCGCGATAAGGTTTCTCACCGAGCGCAAGAGGACGTTCTGCTGAACCTGGCTAGCCCTTCGGTCGCATCGGCGGCAGCTGCAAGTAGGCGTGAAAACCAGATCCCTCTCCTGTCCTCCTTGTTCGTCTCGCCGTTCCTCTCCTCCCCCCCCTCGCCTCGCCCAGGCCCTGGCTGGCCTCCCATGTTTCCCGTTCGTTTGCCGTGACTGGGGACGTTCACGCCTCAATCGCATGGGGCAGCCTGGGGGGGGCAGGAATAACGCTTCCACCCCCAGGCTGCCCATTTTTTAGCAGCAGCAATGCACAACAGCCGGAACATCTGGTCGTCAGCAACTGCAGCGGGGTCCCAAGGTTGGCACTACAAGGCGGCCGCTTGGAACGCAATGCCACGAAACCGCCTCGCGTGGGAGCCGATTGGCTCGAGACAGAATGCCGAATGCCTTGACGCGAACGGCCTCAGCGCCAGTCCTGAAGGCCCAGCGGTGATCGGCGTCGTCGCAGAAACTTTCAAGGTGCCTTCGCGCCCGTCGAGCAGTGGCCTAGCTTCGGGCCGGCAAGGAGCGCGGCAGTGCCTGGAGCGAACGCGTGCTTCTCGCGGCGCGGCCGAGGAACATCGGCCTTTCCGCGCAGCTGGGGCCTCACCAAGTCAGCACGAATATCTGCCTTAGCGCGGGCTTCGATCTCCATCGACGAAGAGCACGAGCCTGCCGCGCCACCTTCTAGGAACGGCTGCTCGCTGGAGGATTCCAGCTTCTCGCGCGCCAGGACCGACCGGGTGAACTCGGCGCGCGTCTGGCGTTCAGGGCCTATCCACCATCGCAGGGCACATGGCCTGCGGCGCAACAAAGAGACCGTTGAAACAGACCGGCAGAGGGTTCCCGACAAAGCGGGTGCGGGTCTAGCATTTGGAGTTCTTGTGCCCGGGGTCTACGATGATAGCGCTGTCGATGTCCAGGTTCACGATCATCCGGCTGTTCCGCATGGTGGGCCCCCAGACGGGGCACATGCAAATCTGTATGATGAGCTTGTCGCTGTGGCTGCACACTTCGACAACGCCTTGCAGGCCATTCGCCAGCTCCTGGATGACCCAACGGAGCCTGGTTGCAGAGACCATGGCGCGCGGGAAGGCAAGGGGAAAAGCAACGGCTCGCGAGTGCAAGCAGGCGGCCCCACCTCAGGCAGACGCCTGAACCCGAGGTGGCTTGAGCCAAAATGGCTACGGAACCTCCTCCTCCTCCTCCTCCTTTTCCTCCTCCCCCTCCTCCTCCTCTGTTCCTCTGTTCCTCTGTTTCTCTGTTCCTCTGTTCCTCCTCCTCCTCCTCCCTTTCCTCCTCCTCCTCTGTTCCTGGGCCTTCGAGCCCCCCCCGCCCTCGCCGCTGCGGCTGGACTCGCCCTGGGAGACACGGGACTCCTCCGTTCGGGCGTCCCGCGGTTCCGTCGCCGCTACGGCCGGACTCTGCCTGGGAGCATCGCCAGGGTGACGCCACATGCGAACCCTACCCCTATCCCCCACGATTTTTGAGGGGGAGGGTGGGGTTCACTTCGCTCGTGACCTCCGAACGAAGAGAGAACCCCTCCCTCCCCCTCAACATGTGGCCCCCTACCAAGTTCCGTCGCCGCTACGGCCAGACTCTGCCTGGGAACATCGCCAGGGTGACTTCCATCGGCGGTGGACCAAGCTCCCTCTAGTAAACCTCCCCTTAGTGAAAACGGCCTGGGACCGAAACCGACGGACGTGGACCCGCAAAAATGGCGGCCGCGACGCCCCCGCGCGAGCCGAAAACGGCCAATTCCTGAATCGACGTGTCAGGGAAGGAGGTCTATCCACCTCCGATTCCAGAAGGGTTCCAGGAGCGGGTCCAGAGAGCGGAGCAGGGGGGGAGGGAAGTGGTGAGGGCGAGGGGAGGAAGAGGCGATATGGGGAGGGGACAAGCTAGGAGCGCTGGCAACGTCCTGACATGCCCCACGCATCCCGCCCATCCCCCCCCCCACTGCGCTGAGTGATTTGTCATCCGCTGACTCGGGCGTTTTAACGACGTTGATCCCCAAAGTAGCCGCATCGTGGGGTACGATATTTAGAATTGGGGGCTTTGTACACTGGAGGAGGGGTAACAGATGATCAAGATGATGAGCAGGAGGAAAAATAACGATGAGGGAAGAAGACGAGAAGGAGCAGCATCCGGTAGCAACTGAAACGACTTCCCATCCAGCGAACGGATTGCGTTCGCGCGCGGCCCTCTTCAGACGACTTGGCACGGGGAACAACACAAACGCGATGGCCACGCACGGACGGAACCGGAACTTCAGGCACGACGTTACGTGGCACTGCGGCGATCTCACCATTTAGCCTTCGCTTGGGCGGCGGAGTTGCCGTTGAGCGCTGCCACGACGAAGCGCCCGCCGCGCCGAACCAGCACCGCCACTTCCACGAACCGCCTGCGCGGCGCTCTCGCGCGCCCTGGAGCCGCCGCCGCTTTTTCATGCGCTTCGGCAGACCAAGCAATTGCGCCGCGCCCGCGCGGGAACGCCACTTACAGGCGAAGTCTGGGCGGAGCTCGGGCGAGGGCGGCAACTCGCGGGCTTGCGCGCGGCCTGGCCCCCCAGCGACTCTGCGAGCGAACCGTGCGCGCTGCGCCCAGGCGCGAGCGCCACTGTCAGGCGAAATCTGCGCGTCGCCAGGGCTAGAACGACGTGTTCGTCCATTCGCGCGTCGACGCATCGAGCGAAAAGTCAGCTCGTCGAGACTTGAGCGCGGGGCCCGAGCGAGAGCAACATTTCATCATGTCGCGCGCGACGCGCGCCCTGTCCCGTTCCTGCCGCGCATCTTGCAAAACCAACGCGAACAAAGCCGTGTGTATAACAAAATTGACGCTTCACGGGAAACAGTAAAAATTGAAACTTCGGATGTGGCCGCGCAGATGTGGCCCCTATCTCGAGGCTCGGCAGCAGAGTGCGCATATGTATGAATAACAGAGAGGGCCATGAGCAGGGGGACCAGGAGTTAGTAAAGAAAAAAATGGCGCAAGCTGGCATCGACGAGGAAAACAACGGATCCAGATACGTGGCCCGAGCTGGGGCGAGGCGGGGTCAGCTCCGCAACGGCAATTGACCAGGGGAGAGAGGAATTCAACAGTCACATCAGATTCAGTAGCTGCAGAGGGCGGAGCATGGACGGGAAGGGGGCACGAAGTGAGGGGGTCGGAAGAGAGGGCGGGGGTGGGGAGGGGAAGGGAGGGAGATGGGGATAGTGAGGGCGAGGGGGGCAAAACCTCGCAATCGAGACTTCCGCTCTACAAGTTGCTCATTCGTCCGTTCTCTTGGCTGCGCAGCTTCCCCAGCGCGTGGTGACGAATATGCGCGGTAACATAAGCGGATGAAGGCACACAAGCATGATCGCTGTCAAGGCGACCGTGGATGACTATTGAAATCACGATTCTGCGCTCGCCAGGTTGTAAAGGTTTCTGCTGGGCTGATGTCTCGTGTTCTTCGTGCAGCCGTTGTTTGAAGTCTCTCGTCTCCCCAGTCTTCTCTCAACGCTTCTATATACTGCGTGGCCCGCTCGCCGACCACCAAGCAAAAAACATGTTTCAATGCCTTGAGCCTTCTGGTGTTTCCGGTCTGGAGAGAAAGGGGAGAAGAAAGATGATAGAGAGAGAGAGAGAAAGAGACAACGTCAGAAAGAGGGATAATGGGACCGAGGGAGAGAGAGAGAGAGAGAGAGAGACAGACAGAACACGCAAAACACGACAACAAAGACAATACCTGCGGAAACTGCATAGAGCGACATGTGTGTGCATCTATACGCACAAGTATATGTATACAGACACGCACATGGGAAGGAAAGAGAGAACGAGAGAGAGAGAGAGAGAGAAAGCGAGAGAGAGAGAGAAGGGCAGATATAGGGAGATGTACATTGACTGTCCGCGTTCAGGACGACAACGCTCATGCAGCGCGTGATGCGCGCTAGCTGTGCAAGCGAATGGATCGGTGTACCCGGCGGACAGAGAGACCCGCAGCCGCGAACGCGCAATTATGCACTGATTCATATTTGTGTATATATACACATAAACGTACATGTACACAGACATACATATAGCGGCCGAACAAACCAACGGAGCGACTCGCGACGAGCACCGCTTCCTGGCCCAGCGCTGCCGATGGGCTCGTTGAGAAGCTCTATGCCGTAGCACGTGTCTCCGTGCTGAAGAGCGGAGGAGCAGCAGGGCGCAAACATGAGGGAGTAGGGAGGGAGGAAGGGAGGGAGAGAGGGAAAGGAGGGAAAGGAGGAGGAGGCAGACGAGCAGAAGGCGGAGGAGATGGAGGACGACGAGGAATTGGAGGAGGACGAGTAGGACTGGACTGGACTGGAACGCTTGCGACCCTGATGGGTGACGCCTGGAATGAAACGCGTTGCAGACGAGCAGTGGACATGTAGAAAAATCTGCGGACATCACGGGGATATAGCCGGCAGCCTCGCTGGAGAAACAGGTGGCCCAAAGCAGGCGGCCCAGTAACGACACGACGAGAGAACGAAGGGGAAGGACGGGCGGGAAGAAACCCGACACGGCCAACACCCACACGCACACACACACACAAACACCAGGAGGCCAAGAGACAGGCGAGAGCAGGCAGCAGCAACACCCGCGGGAGGAGGAGACGAAACAAGGGAGAGAGAAGCAGCAGGCAGGCGTGAAGTGCGAAACTCGACCTGATCCGAATCGGGATTCGGTAGCTCGGACGGAGGAGGGGTGGCAAGCCGCGCACTCCAGGCACGCGCATCAGCAGCGAACGAAGAAGAGGTCCGTGAAAACCGCCCGCACCTGGGCGGCTCTCGGGAGAGTCTGCGTTACAGCCAGTCTAAACACCAAGGGCTCAATATAACAGGCCCCAAAACAAATGCTGCCAGAAATTCACTGGAAGATGGGTGGTTCAGACCTCCCCTGAAGAATATCCAGCTGCGCATGCCCAAACTGGCCACGTTGGGGCAAATCCAGCATCCGAGCAAAATTCAAGATGGAAATGAGACGAGCAGGTCGCTTTATTCCCCAATCAGTGCTTGCACTGAAAGGATTCTAGGGGAGATTGAAAGATTTAACGAAAACGCCGGGCTGGTTTCGGTAGGCGGCCGGGTTCCTGGGTTCCCCGTTCCGGGTTCCCAGGTTCCCGGTTCCGGGTTCCGGGCCGATTTCGGTGGGCGGCGGGGTTCCCGGGTTCCTGGTCGATCTTCTTATCGATCGGTCTCCCCATCGATCTCATTACCCACCTTTTTATCAATCTCACAATCGATCCCACTCTACATCGCACGAGCGATCTCACGATCAATCTCACGATCGATCTCATTGAATCGACTTCACCATCGGTCTCACGGTCGAACTTACACTCGTCCTGACTATCGATTGCACGAACGATCTCACAACCGATCTCAATATCCAAAGCACAAACTGTCAAGCCATCCACTGGTTGGGGCTCGATTCTGATGCAGGAAGGGTAGGAGGAGGGGGAGGAGAAGGAGGAAGAGGAGGAGGAGGGGGAAAAGGAGGAGGAGGAGGACGACGACGACGACGAGACGGAGTTGGAGGACGACGAGGAGGAGAAAGAGGAGGAGGAGGAGGAGGAGGAGGAGGAGGAGGGTAAGGAGGGAAGGGAGAAGAGGAGGACGGCGAAGACGAGGAGGAGGAAGAAGCAGAAGCATGAATCGCACGTTGGGAATCCATCCAGTGCTGGCGGGTCGCCGCCCGATGATTTGGACACCCGGAATGGGTACCGAAAGAATGGGTACGATGCCCAACAACAAGTGTTGTCCCAAACCAACAGCGGCCGCTGTTGGGCAGGCGGCCTTCTGTCTCGAATGGACACAAGCCGCGGCGGCGCGGACAGCGAGTCCTGTTCAAAATGAACAAGAACTGCTGTTGGGCATTGTACCCATTCTTTCCGTGCCATTTCGGGTGTCCAGAGAGGAAGGAGCCACGAGATCGGCTCAGGCCGGAATAAGACCAGGATTAAGTCGGGTCTGCCTCCCACAGGGGGATCTTGGACGATAAATAGAAGTACCGCAAACATATTCAAAACAGCCAAACATAATAGAAACATCGTCCCAAAACTATCTTCTCGCTATGTTTGAATATTCCCCCTGTAGAGGGTCAGGCCGGAATAACACCAGGATTAACCAGGATTAAGCGGGATTCAGCGGAATGCCAATAGATGTTGTGAATTCGGTCGGTTTTCGACCGCGCATATCCGCCACCGTGCCTTCGGGGCACGAGCTGGAGTGCCCCAAGGTCCCTTGCCAAATCCCCTGGGGCCCCTCCTTCACCCCGAAGGTCCCTTGTGGGGCCCGGGCCAGAAATGCTCAAATCGTCCGGGGCTTCTCGCCTGCCTCCAGGGCCCCGTCGCGGCTTCCCGCAAGCATCGTTCGAGGCCAAGAGGGCCCCGAGACGGGCCAAGAGGGCCCCAAGAGACCGCCGTCGGTCCAAGACGGCCCCGAATCGCCGACCGTTCAATCCAAGACGCCCCAGATGGCACCAGAGGGGGCCAAAGATGTCCCCAAGGCGCCCCAAGAGATATCCAAGGGGCTTCCCAAGAGAGCCCTGGGAGGCAAACGTCTTAGATTTCCCGTTGGATGTTGCAAGATTTGGGCGCCATTGCATGTTCGGCTTCCCGACGCTCCACGACGGCCCAAGAGGCCCCCAAGATCGCCCCATGACGTCCCAAGAGGCGTCCAAGAGGGCCCCACACAGGCTCAAAAGGGCCCCAAAACGGCCCAAGTGGGTTCCAAGGCGGCACAAGAGGCCCCCAAGACGTCTCCAAGAGGGCCCGACCGGGGGACCCGACGGACATTCCGATCCAATGGCCCAGGCAAGCTCCCAGGATGTCCCGAAAGGCCTCCAAGAGGCCCCCGAAGAAACCCCAAGAAACCCTAAGGAAGACCCAAGAGGCCCCCAAGAGGCTCCTAAGAGGCCCCAAACAACAACCCAAGAGGCCCCACAACTGCCCCCAAGAGGCCCCAAAGAGCGCCACGAAGAGACCCGAAGAAACATCCCCGAAGACTCCGACCCACAACCCAGGCACGGGGAGGCCAAGCAAGAAGGGCGAACGAACGAAGCAGCCATGCGCCAAACGCGCGTTGGCAGGACAAGTCGGCGAGCGCCAGAGCAACACCAGACGCGTTTGCAAGCGAACAGGGGACGTGCCAAACGGGCGACGAGACGCGAAAGTAACATTCTGACGCGCCAGATGCGCGCCAGGAGGGCCGTTGAAGGTAGAGGAGGACGCCGACGATGAGAAAATTGACCTGTTGCGTGAACCAACAATATCAGCCAAGGCGCACTGGCCATGCAAGAACAAGCGCACAAGTATGATTCCTCTGCGGACGCGGTGTCCCTGGAGAGCTTGCCCGCGAAAATTCGCCATCGTTTGGGTCCACCAACGAATGCATGAGAACTGTGCCGTCTGCAAAGCATGTAAAGACCACTGTTCTTGTCTAGGCCTGTTGTTGGGTAGACGCTTCCTCGCTTGAACTGTCGATTTGCGTAAAGGGCGATCGTTTGAACATTGGCTCGCTGCGTTGAATAGCAAGGCGTAATGGCGCAATACTTGGCAACTGCGTGGGCATGAGTTTTGTCTGCTGTGCATGAACACGTGTTTGTTAGAGACTCTCGATCTGAATGTCCGTGTATGTGCAATATTCCGCTCCCCCCCCCCAGCACCCCGTCCTCCAGCGAACGATCAGTCCGATGACCCTCCTTCTCCTCCTCCCCCTCCTCGCTCTCCTCCTCCTCCTCCTCCTCCTCCTCCTCCTCCTTCTCCTGCACCCCACCCTGCTTCATCACCTCTTCCTCGTTGTCCTCCTCCTCCTCCTCCTCCTCCTCCTCCTCATCATCATCATCCCACCCCTCACTCAAATTTATTTCCTCTTTCTTGTCGTCGTCCTCCTCCTCCGCCTCATCCTCCGACCCCTCACCCAGCTGTTTCTCCTCTTCCTCTTCTTCGTCCTCCTCCTCATCCTCCTTCTCCTCCTTGTCCTCCTAACTCTCACCCTGCTTTCTCTCATCTTCCTCATCCTCATCCTCCTCCTCACTTTGCTCGTTTTTTTGTTCAGCGTGGGTTGTTGACCATGCTCCTTTCGCAAGCCTCGGTGGCGAAGGAGGCGGAAAAGGAGCATGTTGAGGAGGAGGAGAAACAAGCAGACCACCCAGCACCCCACCCCGACAGCGAGTGACCAATCCGATGACATCCGTCCTTAGTCTGCTCATCATCATCCTCGTATTCGTCTTCCTCCTCCTCCTTCCCCTTACCCTCCTCTTCTCATCCTCATCCTGTTCGTGTTCCTCCTCCTCATCCTCATCCTCCTCTTTCTCGTCCTCCTCATCCTCCTCCCCCCTTATTTTCTTCATCCGCCTCATCATCCTCATCCACTTCTTCCTCCTCCGTCTAAGCACCCTCGCCGACTAGCCAGGAAGGCATCAGCCTCACTACGAGTGCAGGCACATGGATTGCAACCCAACCGATTTTAGTCACATCTCTGTCAATACAGCCGGCTGAAGCCTCATCGATTGCAACCCGATGGGTCGCAATCCAATCGATTGAAAGTCAATCGATTGCACTCCTATGCTCCCCCTCCATAGCGAACGATCGCTCCAATGATCCTCCTCTTGCTCGTCCTGCTTCTCCTCTTCCTCCTCCTCCTCCTCCTCCTCCTCCTCCTCCTCCTCCTCCTCGTCCTCCTAATATCCTTTTCCGTTTCTTCTTCATGTTCCTCTTCTTCCCTCCTCCGTTATGTCCCTCCTCTTCCTCCTCTCCCGCGCCCTCTTCCTCCTCCTCCTCGCTTTCCTTGTCCGCCTTCTTCCGTCTCAGCCAAACTGGTTGCAACCATCCGTAGTGTGCTCTGACTCGAGCGTTGTTTTTGTTCGTTTACCGGCTGCTTGTCTCCACAGCGCTGGCGCCACGCCATGCCAATTTCATCAAAACAGACATCAAGGCCAAGACCGACAGGTGTCGTGACCGGAAGCGCACCAAATCGTTGATGAGCTGGGTCGCCAAACCGTGGGTCAAGGAGGTCCTCAAGGAGGCTGCGCAGAAGCACCTTCGGAAATTTCACAACACCTGCGCAACCTTGCGGCGCGAGAAGGCCGCCCTCGCCCAGCAGGTCAAGAGCCAGCGCAAGGACTTGTTGTACAAGCGTCGCGACGTCTTCGTGGCACAGGTGTCGGGCTGAACTCAAGCACGCTTCTTGACACCTATACCCGCAACCGCAGCAACATAACAGGTTAACAATGACGTTGTGCAGCTGAACACACCACACCACGACCACAGAACAACGGCAACCCATCAACAACGCAAGTCAGCCCAACCAAACCTTCGGCACCAAGACCAACACCACCACCAACAACACCACCAACACCAACACGGGAAACACATAACAACCCGCACTAATACAACACGCAACATAACCCCATCCAGCGCGCAGCCGAGAACAACCAGAAGGCTCTCCAGAAGGCCAAGAGCAAGAACGAGCAGCTGGAGCACCCGGTCGAAGAGACGGCGCGCCTGAGGCACGGCGGCGCGCCTGAAGCAAGCGAACAAGGGCTGGCCCTCTAGAAACTCAGGAAATAAAGTTGTTGACAAGGAGAGTTGCCTGCAGGGGGCCCGCCTTTGGGCCTCCTGGAGGTCGTCCACGCGACCCCACGGGGGCGGCACACCAGCCTCCGATCGGTTGCACCATAGATTGCGCCATCAACGGCGGAGAATACAACCGTCTCGTATTGGTCGCGCCATAGGTTGCGCCCGCGGCCATCAAGAACAAGACGGTCTGCGAACGGTTGCTTCATAGGTTGGTCAGGGGGGAGGGGGAGGAGGATGAAGAGGAAGAGGAGGAGGAGGAAGGGGAGGAGGAGGAGGAGGAGGGGGAGGACGAGAAGGAAGAGGAGAAGGGTGAGGAGGATGAAGGGGAAAAGGAGGATGAGGTGGAGGACGAGGACGAGGAGGAGGAGGAGGAGCAGGAGAAGCAGGAGGAAAAGGAGGAGCAGGAGGAGGAGGAAGGTGAGGAAGAGAGTGGGTGGGGACACCAGGAGGAGGAGGAGGAGGAGGAGGAGGAGGAAGAGGCGACGCACGGGAGGAGGAAACAGAACTGGAAGAGGAGGAAAAGGAGGAGGAGGGGGAGGAGGAAAAGGAGGAGGAGGCGCAACAGCAGCAATAGCAGCAGCATGGCCACGAAACCATGCTATTCACAGGTTGTGTTTGTTTTTGTTGGTCGGTGATGCCACCAAACCCTGCTATTCAAATGTTTTTTGGTTTCAAAATGTTTGCAAACTTCGCCAGGAAGTTTCCGGACACAGAAAAACCAAACGCATCTGTGAATACCATGGTTTCGTGCCCCCCCAAGGCCACCAAACACTGCCATGTTCTTTTGGGTTTGGGTTTCCAACAGAAACAAACAACACCAATGAATATCATGGTTTCGTGCCCCCCAAGGCCACCAAAAACTGCCCAACCAAAACGTCCGCAAGCCTCCAGGGAAGGTTTGCTGATCCTCTGAAAGCCCCCGAAAAATGTGAATAGCAGCGTTTGGTGGCATCACCGACCAAAAAACAACAACAAAAAACATGTGAATAGCATGGTTTCGTGGCAGTCCTGAAGGAGGAGGAGGAGGTGGAGGAGGAGGAGGAGGAGGAGGAGGGAGGAAGAGGAGGAGGAATAGGAGGAGGGCTAGGGGGAGGGAGGAGGAGGAGGAGGAGGAGGAGGAGAAAAGGAGGAAGAGGAAAACGGATAGGGCATCACGGGGTGCTGGGGGGGGGGGACTGACCAATCTTTCCCTTAAGCGCTTCGCCTGGAACTGCCAGTTTTTCCCTGTCCGACTCGCTCAACCCAGCGGCGCTAAGTGAATAATGCGCCCTGTGTGTAAGCATCGCTTGGAGTATGTGCAACACCGAACAAATCAATTGCATGGGAGCCCTGGCGGGCGACAATATTTCAAGATGCTGTTGCGCTTGCATCATGTGGAACTTGTCCCGGTGTGTCTCCAGCCCTGCTTTTCCCTCCTGCTGCGGCCATTGCAGCACGGTGCTTGTCAATAATCAAGGTACCGTCAGCGCTCAACAAAACAATGTATCTGCTATGTAAAATTGCCTCAATGCTTGCCTCACTGACGCCTGCAACAGCGTCTTCTGTCACCACTGTCCTTACCATCATAAACAACATCGGGGACAACGGGCACCTCTGCGAGATGCCAGACTCGTGTTGCCGCTCTGTTGATAGTTGCCCCCCGTCCACAATTCGAGAAACGTTTGTTGGTGTACATGCTGTCAACATGGCTAAGAGCCCGGCGGGGAGCCCTAATCTTTCCATCACCTTGAGTTTCGCAGCCGCACTGTCTGAACCAAAATGTTTGTTCCCAGTCCAACCCCAAAAATGTAGATCCTGATATGTTGCCCGTAGTTGCTAACGCGGCCTGCGCAATACGTGTATCGCATCAGCCGTGCCTCGTCCCCGGCAATATCCGAAGTGAGTGTTCGTGAGCTATCTTTCTACCCCTGCATCTTGTAATCGCTGTCGCAACAGAAGTGTTATCATGTTGTACACCAAGTATACCACATAAAGCAAGCAAGCTGATAGGTTTATGAGTGTCGCAGATGTGGACTGGCCCTTCGCTTCTGCATATTATGACTACCAAAGAATGTTTCCTAGCTGTGGGGATCAGTTCTTCTGCCAAGCACGCATTGCATACTTTCGTCAACCATTGTAGTCCCCCATGGTGTTTGTGCTACAGCCTTCCAGTATTCCGCCGGGGTGCCATCTATCCTTCAGCTTTTCCTGGCTTCAGTTTGCGAATCACTTCCCAGACTTCTTGAACCTTGAACTCCCCGTCGAACACAAGCAATTTACATCCGAAAGGTTCCGTAGACGTCAATTATGCTGGCCTCACCTGCCATTGCATTTTCCCTAGAAGTTCTGCCATGGTGTCTGCACGCTCGCTGCTCTCGTCCAGCTTCCCTGCCATGTTGCAATGTCCCTTGTTTGCGTAGCAGTACACGGCAAACAGTTCGTATCGCGACCCAGCTCTCATTCGCAGTATGACCCTCATTCCATGATGCTTTGTCACGTTTGCACGTTTTAAGGTACTTCTTTTAACACACGCCTCTCCTCTTGAGTTTTGTTCGCTTGGCGTGCCTGGGTGCGTTTGTCTATCCATCCCAGCGTGCGATCGCTGATCCACGGCTTCTTTTCTGCAGACGTCTGCGGGAGTCCTCGCGAGAGCTGAGTGGGCCTCTTTGGCCCACAGCTCTTCCACTGCTTCTGAGTCTTTCGAAAAATCTCTCGGTATCTTCACGAACGTGTCTCAGTAGTGTAATCGCGCCGATTGGTTAATGGGCAGAGACAGGCCAGACAAATTAATGGTTTCAATCCGCGGGCCCCAACACGTCTCGGCTTCCTCCCGTGGTCAATCAGCCGTCTAGAATTTTATGCCGGAAGCCTCGAGGGCCCGAAAACGGCCCCGAGAGAATGAGATTGAGCAAAAACGCCAGGATTGAAAAACATAAGCAACTCTCCAGAGGTCTGGGTCTTCAGAGCCCACACCATGAGAGAATCACCGCGTCAGACATCTGGAATGGAATTACCCATCGGTCGGAAGAAGTGGGTGGCAACATCAAGTAGGAAGGCGTTGAAAATAGATTGGGTTTCCACCCGCCCACAACGGATGGATGATTGAAGTAGGACGGCGCCAACAGTGTATAGAGTTTTGAAAATACGAATATCTCGCCATCGCTCGGACGTCCATTCCCTGTGTTTTTTGTTCGGTTTCGTGCGTGGCTTGTTCGCCAAATGATCAAGGATGCTTCTCGATGGTCCTCGCCGAAGGAAAGATGCACACGTCCGAGTGATGCCAAGATGTACTTTCTTTCAGCGAGCGATAGGTACAGTAGGGGCCCGACCACAAGAAACCTTCCACAAGAAACCCAACCCTGAGACCCCAGGACGTCCATTGACTTTGGGTGTGGGAGCGTTATGCTCTCCACCGCAAACCCATCGGAACCCAGGAAACTCAGGGCACCCTGGAGGCAAGCAGGGTGCATCTTGGCACGGGTCTCCAGTGTAAGGTCCTGCTTAGCGTCGCGGCGGCGGCCCCTGTGACACTGAAGGGGCCCCAGGACACACAAAGAAATACACACAAATAAAATGATTCCCCATATTTTCGTATATTTTCTGGGTGTTTGTCTTCCCCCCCACTTCCCATGTTTTCCCATATTTTCCCGGGAATCGACGATTAGTTGTGTCTGTGTGTTTTTTCCCTCCTGAGACACGCTACGCCTTTTAAGCTGATGGCGTGCCGACCTGCTCTGATCTCCTGGGACGTGAGGGCCCAGACAAGCTCAGGACGCTGGTGATCTGGGGGCTGGGACGCCCTTGTCACCAGACTTTCGAAGCGAATCCGGCCATGGCGACGAGGGCCTCCCAGGAGGCCCAAAACGGCGGGGACGAGGCAAGGGTAGAGGCATCGGTCTATTCTCCTTCCCTGAGTTTAGCGTGGTCGCGCCGGAGCGTGGTGGGCCAGGGCCGGCGCCGCATCATACTGCAGCGAACGCTCCTGACCGTGTGCCCGACAATGAGTCCGTGCCAATCCTCCTCCTTCCCGTTCTCCTTGCCATCATCCCCACATGTCTCCCCTCCCTCCTCGCCTTTATGGCCCTCCCCCTCCTCCTGATCCTCCTCCTCCTCCTCTTCCTCCTCCTCCACTTGCGATACACTCGTCCCTCCTCCTCCTCCTCCTCCTCCTTGTCACCCTCCTCCTGCATACCCTCCTCCTCCTCTTCCTCCTCCTCCTCCTCCTCCTCCTCCTCCTCCCCCTTCTCATCCTGCACCCATCCTCCTCTGGCTCCTTCTCCTCCTCCTGCTCCCCTTCATGCCTACCACCTCCCATTATCCTTCTTATCCTCCTGCTGCTTCTTCACCTGTATCCGGCTCCTGCTCCAGCTCCTCCAGTCTCTCCTGCTCATCCTCCTCGTACTCGTCCTCGTCCTCTTCCGAAGACGAGTACGGCGACCCCGAGAACGAGAAAGACGACGACCATGACGGCGAGGAGGATGAGGACAACGACGACGACAACTGCAGGGCGCAAACACGCCGTCCTCGCTACACACCTCGGCCATCCGCTCGATCGCCTCTGCGTCGCGGGATTGATTAGGATAGGAATCTTCAGGGCAAGCGGGTTCACCAAGCCAGCCTCGGAGAAACAGGGCTTCGGCGATCGACATCTCATTCATGCCCCTGCTCACGCCAGAACTCTACGAGGGGGCGGTGCGGGGGCATGGAGACAAATCTGCCTTTGGAGGCCGAATATTCTATCCATGCCCCGTCCAAACCTGGCAGCCAGGAGGGGGGACAGCAGCAGGGGTGGATCGGACCTCGATCCCATAGGGATGGAGCCTTAAACGCCTACGCAAGGGACATGGATTAGAAGGACAATCATCGCGTTGGGAGGAAAGGGTTGGGAGAATGCACGGCATGCGCAAAATCATCTGGATGCAATAAACGATACCTTCGGCAGCCTGCGTCTAGCAAATGGGAAACGTGTTGTCAGCGCAGCGCATGGGCCGCCAATCCAACACCGCACAAGCTCCCTAAGAAGCGGGTTGCAACCTGCAGCATACTTCGTGGCCCTCCCAGGCCATATTGGACCCCTGCGAATTTCCCAAGACGCAGGTTGTACCCTGCAGCCTACTGTAGCCTACTTCGTGGCCCTCTCGGGGCCACCTTGGGAGCACTGCCGACGCATTCGGTGGGGCCGTTCAAGAGCTCTCTTGTGTGTTTTCTGGGCCCCCTTAGAGCTATCTTGGACAATCTCAAGTGTTGAAGCGACGCGGCAAACACTGGAGGTGGACCGAGGAATTGAGCAATGCCGCGGGTTTCTGGAAATTGCCGAATGAATAATCAATTCCGCATCGGGCTCCGTATTGCGATCCGTTGCTGATGCGGAACCCACCAGTTACTTTTTCTCGTGCTCATACAAATTTTGAGAGGTCGCGGGGCCACAGCGGGGTTGATTATCAACGGGGCGAAGACAAAGATTGTGTCCACTGACTGCAACATATCAGATAGCGAGACACCAGTCATGGTGAAAGTCGCCGGATCAATGTTGAAGTTGTCCGCAAAAACTCTTCTCACAAGTAGTTGGGAAGATTGTTCCCTGGCGACTTGAAGCAGGGAGACCAAGCCAATGTGGCGTGTGCGTGGTTGAAGCACCACTTCTTACAATCGACGCTGGATAATAAGAAGGTCTCAATTCGCTTCCGTCTTAGACTATTCGACGCCGATATCTCGCCGACGGTTCTGTACAGCTTGCCAACGACGCCGTTGATGTCAAACCATCTGGACAAACTTGATGCCTTTCAAAGGGAGATGATGAGTCGCATGTTCGGCTGGGTGCGCATGGACGACGAATCATGGGAAGAAACCGGTGGCCGCATGAAGGGCCGTGTCAGCGCTGCTTTGCTCAAGTACCCCATCGCTGCTGGGAGCGAGATGCGCAATCGACGTCGGGAGAGCGTCCTCGTCAGTCTGGCCTCCAGGAACTCGCCGCAATTATCTTGCGCAACTCACAGATGAATGGGAGCTGGCTCAGTCGGGCGAAGCACACCAAAGGCATCATCCCTACAGGGTCAGAGGAAGGCCTCGGCAACGATGGAGTGATTGATGAAGACAGCAATACAAGCATTGATTGTGTCCCTCCCCCTCCCCCCTCCTCTCCCCTCCCTTCCCTTCCCTCTCCCCCCCCCGCCCCCTGGAACGCAAGACAAACAAATGTGAGCTCGCTGACAATCGCGTGCCTTCTGAGTGGCAAGAACTGAATTTTCCAGGCGCAGTCGAAGGATTGATGGCCTACTACCGCTGCTCTCATGCGAGTTGTCTTTAGACATTTCCTTCTTCCCGTAGCCTGTAGCAGGAGACGGCCTCTGAACTGATCGGGACTAGCGTAGCGTAGCGGGGCCACAGCAAGTTCCGTATTGCGTTCCGTTCCCGGTGTAATAATAGTGAATTCCGTCTTGCGCCCCGCTCGCTATGCGGAATCACTACTGCGTTGGTCCGCTTCCGTTCTGCATGGGTTGCGCCATGACTTCTGCATGGGTCGTTGGCACCGGCGGTGCAACATCGCTGCCGATCGGACCCCAGAGGTAATTCCAACCTACAGAGGCCCAACCAGCTACGCGCAGAGCCGGGTTCTTCAGGAGGAACAGCTGACGAAGAAGGAGAGACGCGAGAATGCGATGAGTGGGAGCGTCGTTCCCAGCGATGTGAAAGCGAAGAACCAACCCACATTCAGGCTGCAAACGGCAAGCAATTCAAGCTGCAGGGGGGTTGGAGGATGCTATCCGCTCAACACCTCGGATATGCGTCGCACCCGCGTCTCCCTCACACACCCTCCCTCCTCCCCATCCTCCTCTTCCGTCCTCCCCTCGCCCACGCGCAACACATGGACGGCGTGTACATGGGACACGCGTCTACATACAGCGACGGATGACACGTCATATACAAGACATACGTGTAGGATTTGCATTGAATAGCAGGCGAAACATATTCTCGACACCATGAAGGGTGCGCAAAGGGTGGTCTCTCTGAGCGCTGCCGCTATCCGTGACGGCCGTCCAAAGCACAGCCGCCGTGGCAGGCGTGGCACTCTCTCGACACCAGAGAAGGGGTGCGCAAAGGGGTGGTCCCTGAGCGCGGCCGCTATCCGTCACGGTCGTCGAGGGCACAGCAGGCGTGGCGCTCTCTCGGCACCCCAGGGGGTGCGCAGGGGGTGGTCTCGGAGCCCGGCCGCTGTGCACGGCGCACCGCCTTCCGACCCAGATCTCCGACGCCGCTTTGCCCTGGTTGGGACAGCCTGGACCCCGAGAGGCCCGGGCCCCTCAGCCCAGCACCCGGGGGGCTGCCCTGGGGAGATCAGCGGGCACCGATACCGCTGCTCCCCGGACCTCTCCTGGGGTGCGTTCTGGCCAGAATGTCGCGGCGAATCCAGCAGTGGCGACGAGGGCCTCCCAGGAGGCCCCCCAAAAAGGAAAACGAGGGAAGGGTAGAGGCATCGGTCTATCTGTTCTCCTCCCCTGAGTGTAGCGTGGTCGCGCCAGAGCGTGGTGGGCCAGGGCTGGCGCCGCATCATACTGCAGCGAACGCTCCTGACCGTGTGCCCGACAACGAGTCCGTGCCAATCCTCCTCCTTCCCGTTCTCCTTGCCATCATCCCACATGTCTCCCCTCCCTCCTCGCCTTTATGGCCCTCCCCCTCCTCCTGATCCTCCTCCTCCTCCTCCTCCTCTTCCTCCTCCTCCTCCCCTTGCGATACGCTCGTCCCTCCTCCTCCTCCTCCTCCTCCTCCTCCTTGTCACCCTCCTCCTGAATACCCTCCTCCTCCTCCTCCTCCTCCCTCCTCCTCCTCCTCATCCTCCTCCTCCTCCTCCTCCTCCTCCTCCCCCTCCTCCTGGTCCTCCCATGCTCATGCGGAGTTGTGGTCTCCGACGGCTCCGGGGCCGAGAGCGGAGAAGAAGTGCGGGGGGAAAGCAGGCCCGGGAAGAGCGGCCCCACGTGGGGGCAGCGCGCGGACGATCTGCAGTCAAGGCGCAATGCCAACACCATTTGGCCCCCCGCGCGTCCTAATGACTGAGGGGGCCCCAGGACACACGAAAAAGTACACACAAATAAACAGATTCCCCATATGTTCCCAGATGTTCTGGGTTTCTGTCTTCCCCCCCACTTCCCGTCTGTTCCCATATCTTCTGGGGAATCGACGACGAATTGTGTCTGTGTGTTTTTGTTCCCCTCCTGCATGACATCCTGTCCGCCCAACGCCACGGCCGTGGGAAAAGCCTGAAGGATTGGACCGTTGGGCCGCGTGCGGTGCGTGCGCGCGACCCTCCGAGAGCACCAGGGGGGCCGCGGAACAGATGAGGATCGGCATCCCAGGGCGGCGGGCACGAAGAGGGCGAGGGGAGGCGGGATGGCGGGCGGCCCCGTGGCCTGCACACCGATCTGTTTGTTCCAGGGGGTGTCGAAGAAGAACATGCCCTTGCCCTGGTCGCAGCCCGTGAAGACGTTGTCCTGCGCACTTCGCCGCCCCCCTGTTCCACCTCGTCCGCACCTTCTCTGGGCACTTCTGTCCATGCGTGCTGTCCCGTCGTCTCTACCTTGAAGTCGGGCCTGTCCCCCTACAGGCCGATTTTCGAGGACGAATCAAACAAATATCAAAACAAATTCAAACATGGGCAAGAATAATGAAACAAATAGCCCCCCGACGAATTTGGACAATTTTTGAATATTCCCCCTGTAGAGGGACAGGCCCGAATTGACTCTACGTCCAGCTGGCCCCATCCCCCCCGTCCTGCTCCATCGTGCCCGTCCCCCCGCTCCTGCTTCCCCGTTCTGTCCCGCCCTGGCCCCGCCGCTTCCACGCCAACCCTCGTGCACCTCGTCCTTCCTTTCCCCCACGGCCCGCCCTCTCCCCATCTCCCCGTTTCTATTCCAATTTGGCTGAAGAATCTCTCCCTCTCTCTCTGTCTCTGTCTCTGTCTCTCTCTCTCTCTCTCTCTCTCTCGCCGCGCGACAGAGCACGGACACTGCCAGTACACCCTGGCGGAACCCTGGGACACGCCCTCGAGAAAGCGTTCAACGAAAGCCCCTGGTCGACTTGGCAGACTGTGGGTGCTGCCCCTCCTGACCAGGTCCTGCTGGAGCCTGAGGCCGCCGGCACCACGCGTGCAATGATGCGCGCCCTGAGCGCGGTTTCCTCCTCTGTCCTCCTGCGCGGCCGTGCTCCGATTTTCCCATGCGCATCGCCGCGCCGCGGCGGCTGCTGTCCGACGCCTCGTGGCCTCGCGCGGCAACGCTCCCCGGCTCCTCGACACTCTCCACAAGACCGACGCTCTTGTCGGGAACATGGCCTGCGGCAGCAGAGAAACCGACGAGGCCGCCAACGAAGGGGCCGCGCTGGCGCCTTCCCAGCAGGACTTGCCAGAGTTACGCCACCCAGCATGACAATGTCCAGAACGTCCTGGCCCGTTTTCAGCCGAATTGGCAATGAAAACCCGATCTTTTCAAGACACCGCCCCAAACCCCAGGAGGAGGGGACGGAAAGGAGAGAGGGCGGCCCCACGGAAGCGCAGGATTAACGGAACGCGTCCTCATTCAAACCAGTGTTGCGCACACGTGCGTTCCAGCCCCATGTGCGGCAAGGGACCAACCGCAGCCCGGCAAAAGGTTGTTTGCCGTCAGAAGTGCGGAATGGCCAATGTTGACAGGAGAGGAGGCCAAGTCGTTGCCCCCCCCGCATCCTCAGCCAATGGTAATCGCAATCCCGTTCGAAGTCACGCCCTGCGAGCAACGGGGTCGTACACATGGTGCTAGAATGTTTGGGCCAATGTCCCACACATTGTGTCTGACAGGACTCGGTACCACCTGCAAGCGCAACCTTGCAGGTGACAGTGCCATCGGTCGCCGAAATCGTATCCAACGGGGTAAGCGGCCCAAACACCGAGGAGAGACTCGCCGATCCGAGATTCATGAACCATCGCTGAAGTGCTATCCTCGTCCTCGACCACCTGCTCTTCCTTTTTTCTCCATCTCGTCATGCGACTACTTGTGGAAGGACATGGTCGAAGAAGATCGTGCCGCATCGCCGATGCATCGCCGATGCATTGGCGATGCGTCGGCGAAGCGTCGGCGATGCGTCGGCGTGATCGGGCAAGAAGCGATCGGGCGTCGTGCAAAGGAGCAACGATACCGATGAAATGGCGATGCGGCGCGGTCCTCCGACCCCATCCGCGGGACACCAGTTTTCTCCTCTCGCCCGCATCACCACGGACGCAAGAACCGTCGGACAGCTCGATACCTGAAGAAATAGAATCACAGAGCCGGCGCACCTTCATAGCTCATCTGCGACACATGAAGGGAAAGAGAGAGAGAAAGAGAGAGAGAAAACAACAACAACAACAAATATATACATACATATATATATAGAGAGAGAGAGAGAGAGAGAGAGAGAGAGAGAGAGAGAAACAAAACAAAAAAAAAAAAAAAAAAACGAGCGAGGGATATATGGAGAGAGGGGAGAAACAAATACGCTACCGAAGAACCTCGCATACTTAGAGAATGTCTGGAGTGCTTGTATCTGAAGTAAAACATGCGAGAATGATCGTGGTGGCCGTTGCCCCACCGATACCGCTGGCACGCCGATGCCGAAGAAGGGCCCAGTAAGCACCTCACTAAACACTGTCTCCTTGCATCGTCTGCGCCTCGTTTGCGCGGCAACTCTTCTTCGTATTTGGTGAATTGCGTTTCAGGCCACCAGTGCATCAGCTGTCGGTGGCAAGCATGAAATGCGCATTGTACCAAGACGCTCCCATGCCTGACGGCATATCCGCGCAAACCATTCAGGTTCACCTCGGCGCCCATCTCTAGCATTGATTTCTGGAGCTGCTCGCGCGGCGGTGGCAGCGCGGACATGGCGCATTTGGGCGCCATGGCGGGGACCGTACTTTTGACGGAGAGTCACAGGCAGTCGCCCGCGATCACGTATCGAGCAGTCTGAGCCTGCATGAGCCGGGGCGAGAAAGTGCCACGCCTGCTATGCCCTGCGCGACCAGCGTGCATAGCGGCCACGCTCAGAGACCACCCCCTGCGCACCCCTTATGGTTCCGAGAAAGTGCCACGCCTGCTATGCCCTGCACGACCGGCGTGCGTAGCGGCCGCGCTCAGAAAACACCTTCGCGCACCCCCTATGATGTCGAGAAAGTGACACGCCTGCTATGCCCTGGACGACCGTGACGGATTGCGGCCGCGCTCAGAGACCACCCCCTGCGCACCTCCCCTGGTGTCGAGAAAGTGCCACTCCTGCTGCGCCCTCGACGACCGTGACGGATAGTGGCCGCGTTCAGAGACCACCCCCTGCGCCCCCCCTGGTGTCGAGAAAATGCCACTCCTGCTGCGCCCTCGACGACCGTGACGGATAGCGGCCGCGCTCAGAACCCCCCCCCCTGCGCACACCCCCCTGGTGTCAAGAAAATGCCACTCCTGCCATGCCTATTATGCTCTGGACGACGGTCACGGATAGCGGCCGCGCTCAGAGACCACCCCCTGCGCACCTCCCATGAGGTCGAGAATGCGCCTCGCCTGCTAATCACGGCGAATCCTACACGTATGTCTTGTATATGACGTATCATCCGTCGCTGTATGTAGACGCGTGTCCCATGCACGCGCCGTCCATGTATTGCGCGTGGGGTCTTACGTTTCTCTGGCTGGATTCGGACGACCTCCAGCCAAAGTTAGGTCGGGCCTGTCTCCCTATGGGCGGATTTGGGACGAAACATTAAAACTAGTAAAAAACATTCAAACAAACATTTTTATAAAAATTGTGAAACAAATCGCCCCCTGAGAATATTTTGGCTATTCTTGAATACTCCTCCTGTGGAGGAACAGGCCCGGCTTAAGGCTGGATTCGGACGACCTCCAGCCAAGGCTGCGTGCCCTGCGCACGCCTCCAGCACGGCTCGAAGATCGGGCCCTGCGCCGGCAGCGAGGACGGGGAGCATCCAGGCGCCCCGCGAAAGAACCGCCCCGAAACGCCAGCGAGACGACGGCGGCCGCGGCGACGACGGCGACGGCGGCGACGACGACGACGACGACGCGAACGACGTCGTCGTCGTCGTCGTCGTCGTCGTCGTCGTCGGCGTCGTCGTCGTCGTCGTCGTGGTGATCGTCGTCGTCGTCGTCGACGCGGTCGTCGACGTCGACGTCGTCGTGGCGGCGGCGGCAATGGCGGCGGCGGCGGTCGGGGAACTCGCGGTCCGTCTGGCCACCGGGGCCGCCGTGCAGGTCCAGCAGGACCTGGCGGCGGAGGCCAAAGCTCCCAGTCCCCTGTCCGTCGACCCGCCCGGCGCCTCCTTCCGCCTAGTCCTCAAGCTCCTCCTCCGCCTCCGCCTCCGCCTCCTCCTCTTCGTGCTCCTCATCCTCGCCCGCCTTGCCCTCTGCCTTCGCCCTCCTCCTCTTCTGCTCTCATCCCTCCTACCTGATTTTTTTGACCTCGCACCGCCATGCCTCCGAGACTGGACTGCCATGCTCTGAGCCGAGACGCACACAGAACATGGCCACGAATTCTTACACTAATGCTTTGAATTCGTCACAAGAAACAGAAACTCCCTCCTTGTCAGGGTGATAGCCTTTCTTGAGCTTTCTGAAATTCCGAATTCCAGTGACGGTGGGGGGCCTGCACGCACGGCCGAGGCCCAGCACCTGAGCACCACTCGAATAAAAATTACAGGATAAGCACACAAAAATATGAGAGGCGTCAGAGCAAGGCAGGGCGATCACCCTGTGTCCTAGTCTCTCCAGCACACCCTGATCCAGTTTGGACTTCCCAGGGCACACGCTGTCTGGTGGACTTTTATCCTCAGGCAGCGTCGAACCCTTCAAACAAACCTCACACCTCCAGAGCCCACTCGAGCGCTTCCACGAGTGAGCAAGCACCAGTTTTGGGGCCGCGAGGGGAGGGTTGACTCTCTCGGAGCCTCTGAATTCAAGATGCGGCCACTCCGACAGAATGGCAGCACCTAGCTTTAAGACATGTTTGGCAATCTTAATTTTCCTGTCCAGCTCGTCAAGGTCACGCGGGTCAGCAGAAGGGTGCTTCTGTAAGGCACTCTTCGCTACATGATCTGCATAGTAATTCCCTTGCCGTGCAAAGCGTTCGAAAGCTGAAATGCCTTCTTCGTCTAAAGCCTTGTGTGCCTGCACCTTCGTGCAGGTGCGAAAGAACTTGCCAAAAAGATGCCGAGCTTGCAAGATCGCTCCTCCGTACTGATTTTTGTGGGAGAACGCTCGAGCCGCAGAGAGGCCAGCCTGGTCGACAACATTCAAACGAAGAACGAGCTCGGCCCAGGACAGACTCCACTCGAAACTGTGGGTCTGGAGAACCCAGATCTCTCGCGACCAGCGGACAATCGGAGCAACGGCCGCCCTCCAAGGGGGGTCTCCCTCCAGAAGCGAAATGACAGACAGAGAACGGCCTTGCGCGAAACGAAGGAACAGGAGCCCCAATCTCCTCCTCTCCTCCTCCGCTCCCCTCCCTCGCCCGTCTCCCTCGTCCTCGTCGTCCTGGGTGCGTCCCCGGCGCGCTGAGACGACCTTTTCCCTCTTCCCCATGCGCAGGGAGAGGGGGATCGCAAAGGACTGAGTTACATACGTGGTGCGCGCGTGCGCACCAATACCAAGCGAAATGTATTGGGGCGCCCGATGACCCAGGATATCACCTGACCCCTGCTGCCCAACGGCTGCGACAACTCAGGCAGCTTGCCCGGCCTTCAATCCATACCTTTCGGCGTATTCGAAGACATTGTTGATCCACTTCATGTAAGCCGAAGCGGGCATGATGTACTGCAGGTGCCTCCTCCACCACGCACGGCGCGGGGAAAGGCAGCAGACCATCGCAAACACACTACAACATCATGGCTTCAAACGAGCTCTGACAGACTCCGCCTCCTGAATGGAAAATACACACAAACGCACACAAGAACCTGCAACTGTGCCCCCCTCGCAAGAGAACACACACGACAGATTCAGCCACGATGTCAAATGCCGCACCATTGCCCCAATGCCTGCACTGCTGACACCTACTGGCTGCGATTCAAGCGTGATTCCTCCCAGCTGGCTCGCATCATAAGAAGGCAGTTTCGTAATCGTTTCAAAACCTCTCCGAGAATGATGCGGTGACATGCGGCTGCACAACCTGTGTGCCATGCCACTCATGTGTTTCAAGCTGGTGGCGCGATGGTTACGTGGCAGTTGCCGAACGTCCAGAGTCGTGTACTGACGGGCGTGTTTGCTCCTCTGCCAGCAGCCAACGAAACAAACATTCCCTGCAGGATTGCGGAACGCACTGCTGAGTGCAGCCATGCCCTCGCAGCTCGAATTAGACAGAACAAGCCATCCAATGCCGTGGGCAACGGGGGTTCCCAGTGAGCCCCAAGAGGCCCCTCAGAAGGCTGAAAAGAGGCCCCAAAGCGGCCCCCAGACACGCTTCAAAAACTGCCTCGGCGAGGCTCCGCCGAACCCCCGAACAGCTCCCAAGGCGCCCACAAGAGAATCCCCACAAAAGTGGCCAGGAAGCCCGCGAGGCCTTAACCCGTGGACTCCACGCCTGCCCTGGGGGCCGGCGGAGTGGCGCACGCCTCTTGAATCATCCACTGCGGCATGGGCAACGGGGGTCTTTAGGGAACGGGAAAAGGAGGGAGGGGGGAGAGGCCCCCAAAAAGTCCCCAAGAGGCCCAAAGAAACTCCCAAGAGGCCTCCAGGAGGGCCCCCAAGAGGCTCCCAAGAGGCTCCGCGACGACATGACTGTACGTGCTCCGGACGTGCACCTCGCGAAGCGAGAGGAATCATCCACTGTGGCATGGGCAACGGGGGTCTTTAGCGAACGGGTTCTGGACACTCCGGCGTTTTCCTGATCCAGCTCTTCATCCCGTGTCGGCTTTTGACGGTCACGGGGTACGGGGAGGGCCCAAAGGAACCGAAGACGGCGAAAAAACCCTTCGACCCATGGCGACCAGTGGAGGCACCAACGATCACCGCTGAGACTGTTGGGCGTAGCGTTGCCCGGCAAACCTCTCGGAGATCGGCGGTTCAGCTGGGAAAGGTCACAAAGGCGCCCGTATGCGAATCACTGACGCTGGTAAAGACACGTCAGAAGGAACGTCGGTGGCCATCATGAGTGCGGTAGTCATGCTTCACATCGCGATTCGCCGATGCTGCCAATACTCGATACTATGTACCGCATGTGCAACGATATCTTCCCATCCCCTTTTTCGCCGCCTCTCCTCTTCCTCCTCCTCCTCCTCCTCCTCCTCCTCCTCCTTCCCCCCCTCTTCCTCCCCCTCCCCAAATTCCTCCTCCTCCTCCTCCTCCTCCTCCTCCTCCTCCTCCTCCTCCTCCCCCGCCTCGTTCTCCCCTGCCCCATCCTGCTGCTGCTCCTGGTCATCGTCCCCCAGCCTCCCTCTCATACTCCTCTTGGCGTTCCTCAAGATCTTCTCATTCCTCTCGTTCTCCTCTTGCTCATCCGCCTCCTCCCCTCATCCCTTCTTCTCCACCTCCACCTCCCGCTCCTCCCATTCTCGCCCATCCCCGCGCATCTCCCCCCCTTCCCTTGAGATGCCCCCTCTTCGCTACGTTCCTCGAGGTCATCCTTCTCCTCCTCTGCCGCCCGCCCGCAAAACTCTCTGCCGCCTTCCCCCCCAAGCTCTCTTTACTCGAAGTGCCCTCCCCGCTCCCTCCTCCTGCATCCCTTTCGTCGCACCACAAGATACGTCAGTGTGGTGGGCCCGGCGTTCCGTCCGAGACCTCCAGACAGACGGCATACGGTCCATGAAGCGAGAAAGTTCCAACAGCTACACGGGTGGCGGCGAATCGCTCTTAACATGTGGTCGTAGCGTTAGCGTCGCGAGACTTCGCCTGATGGAAGGCGGCCCGTTGTCAAAATGTGGCTGCCGTCGCAGCGCGCACATTCGTGTCATCAGCTTCAGATATAGCTACACGGGCGGGAGGTGGTTCCCTGTCTGAGTGCAGCGCTCGCAGGAAACTGCAAAGTGCTGTGACCACAGGCCTGATCTCTTGGCAGCAGCTGCACAGGTGGGGCGCCCCACTTCGATACTTGACTCGCGAGTGATCGCCCCTCAAAATGTGCCACGTTGCGTGGACGGTGGGGGGCAACACTTGCACGGACGGACGACGATGCCTTTTCAAACCCGGGCTATCGTTAGGTCGGGCATGTCCCCCTGCAGGCGGATTTTGGACGAAAATTAAAAATATTCAAAAAGTACAAGAAAATATTCAAAAATGGTCAACAAATCGTCCCCAAACTATGTGTTGATTATTTTTGTATAGATGGTCCAGGGCTTGGGCCCCCCCCCCCTCCCCCCGATTGGGCCCCCCCCCCGATGGTCCCCCGCCCCCCCCTGTGGGCGCGGCGTGTTGCTGCGCTGCGGTGCCCCCCACCCCCCACCCTGTGGATCTGGTGTGGTGCTGTGGTGGTTCAGAGGTGGGCGTGGCGTGGTGCTGCGCTGCGGTGCCCCCCTCCCCCCCTGTGGATGTGGTGTGGTGCTGTGGTGGTTCAGAGGTCGTCGTCGTCGTCGTCGTCCTCGTCGTCGTCGTCGCCGTCGTCGCCGTCGTCATCGTCGGGATCGTCGTCGTCGTCGCCGCCGCCGCCGCCGCCGCTGGCGTCGTCGCCGCCGCAGCCGTCGTCGTCGTTGTGGTCGTCGTCGTCGTCGTCGTCGTCGCCGTCGTCGTAGTCGTAGTCGTCGTCGCCGTGGTCGTAGTCGTCGCCGTCGTCGTCGTCGTCGTCGTCGTCGTCGTCGTCGTCGTCGTCGTCGTCATCTCTGGGACCATACCATCTCCATCTGGGGGGGGGGGGGGCCCGAGGAATCATGGGACCATACCATCTGGGGGGGGGGGCCCGTGGGCCTGGAGCCCGGGAGCACATATCCCCTAGAGGGACAGGCCCGACTTCAGGATATCGCTGGACCCGCGATTGGACCCCAAAAAGACCACGTGACGGCTCCGGCAGCTGGAAGGCTGCGAGGCGCACCTGTGCCGCAACAGGGCCCCCGCCCGAGTGGCGGGCCCACGGGGCGCTCGGCTCTGGAGGGGGCGCTCTCCGGCAGCGGGGAGCCATGCCCGAAGAGGACCTGGCGAGGAGGGGGCCCGGGACAGGGAGGGCGTGCTGCAGCATGGCGGGTGCAAAGACCACGGACACCCGAACAAGACGGTCGTTGAGTTGAAACTGTGCCTAACAAGTGTGAAACATACTCTAAACAGGTGAGACACATGCTCCCGGCATGTTTAGGGCATGTGCAGCACATCGTGTTTAACATCTGGGAACCACTTGGCAGCATGCTTATTCTCCACTGATCGTCGTCCACAACGGTAGCATCGTTGCTGGATCCCGGGCTTACTATTGCCCTCCTTCTTGTCCTACTCCTCTTCCTCCTACCTGCTCTCCTCGGCTTACCCATCCGGCATCGCAACCTGCCCCTCCTCCCTCTCATCGAAATCCCCCATCCCCTTCTCATGTTTGCCACCTGTTCCCTCCCCCTCCTCCTGATGCGAATCTTCCTCTAGTGGTCCACTTCTCGACGTACACTCCTGGTACGACAACTTATGTTCCTCCTCTCCCAATATGCCTTCCTCCTCTTCTCCACTTCTCTACTGTTCTTCCTGATCCCCCATCCTTCTCTACTTCTCTTACTCCTACCTCCCCTCCTGGTCCTTCCCCCAGTCTGTCCTAGCACGCGTTCAGAGTAGAACCTCAACGGGGATCCAAACGTGACGAGAACTCTCACTTGTAGGCCCAGGGAGGGACACGTCGAACATCTCAACCAACTATCCTCGAAATTTCTATTCCCCTCACTGTGGTGTTGTCGAATCCCTCGACCCGTGCTCCCAGGCCTTCTTTTGCTTACCCAGGTGGTTTCTTGTCGACAGCACGGCCCCGGGTTGCGCAAAGCGAAGAAGAACTGGCCGCCGCGATGATGTCATGGCACAAGCCCGGGCCCCCGAACCGAGGTCGTGACGTGTCACGGCGCGGACCCTTGGAGATCTCGACACGCTCCCGCGCGGACCTGTTTTTTTTGTTGCTTCATCCCGAGACGTCTTGCCGATTGTCCTGGGGCTGAGTGGGCCCCGGAAACGGCAGGGCCGTTTCTTCTCCGCTTCCGAGAAAAAGGCCCTTAATTATCCTGGCAAAGCAACCTAACAGCCATGTGTAGGAGCATCTCTGGGTCGAACAGCATGTCGATGTATCATACGCACTAACTTAAAGCGGGCGCGTTACGTTGGGAGGAGGGATCAAGGAGAGGAGGCCGGCGAGGGGGGGGCTGCGCCCATCCGAGGGAACGGGGCAGCCCCCCCCGCCCCAAAAAATGCTTCGGCCTCTCAAGGCCCCCCCGGCTCCACGAATCCCATTGGGGGGTCGAGATCCCCGCTCTGCAGTGGGATTCGCGGAACGGGGCGCCCCCCAGGCGCTTGTTATCTTCGCGCTGGCGCCGGCAGTGTGCACCTGGGGGAGCGCGGGTTGAAATGAGTGAGGGATCAGGAAGGATGTGGACGGGCGTTCCGCTCTGAAGCGTCCTCACAATCTGGCAAAAACGCAACCCCTCCCCGGGGGCACCGCGCGTGCTGGACCAGGCACATGCGTCGCCCTAAGTCGGCGCGCGCACATGAGAGGCCCATGTTTGTGTGTCTGTCCCCCAGGAAGGCCCGACATGGCGAGCAGAAGACCCGAATAATTCGTCCGGTGTGTCTGTCCCCCAGGAAGGCCCGACATGGCGAGCAGAAGGCCCGAATAATTCGTCCGAGGGGCTCCCCAGAGGGGCTCCCCAGAAGGGCGCAGGGAGCCTTCCTCAGAGCCCTGGTGCGCACGACCTTGGCCGAAGGCCATCATATATGCAAGTACAACAGTTCATGCAGGAATCTCTTGTGCACGTGCTGGTGCCACTGCTGCGAGCAGGCAGTGGAACGAGCGAGGAGGGGGTATCAACCTTGACCGCCCGCCCCCGCCCCCTTCCCTTGACCGCGCTCCGCGGCCGGGCGCAAGCGCGGCCGGTCGGGGCAGCCGGCCGGGGCAGCCGGCCGGGGCAGCCGGCCGCCCTCCCCTCCTGCTCGTCCTCCTCCTCCTCCTCCTGCTCGTCCTCGTGCTCCTCCTGCTCGTCCTCTTTCTCCTGCTCCTCCTCCTCCTCCTCCTCCTCCTCCTCTCCTCCTGCTCCTCCTCCTCCTCCTCCTCCTCCTCCTCTTCCTCCTGCTCGTCCTCGTTCTCGTCCTCCTCGTCTTGCTCGTCCTCCTCCTCCTGGTGCTCTCTCCTCCTCCTCCTCCTCCTCCTCCTCCTCCTCCTCCTCCTCCTGGTGGTCCTCGTTCTCCTCCTCCTGGTGCTCTCCCCCCCCCTCCTCCTCCTCGTCCTCCTCCTCCTCCTCCTCGTCCTCCTCCTCCTCCTCTCCTCCTCCTCCTCCTCCTCCTCCTCCTCCTCCTCCTCCTGGTAGTCCTCCCCCTCCCCTCCTCCTCCTCCTCCTCCTCCTCTTCCTGGTCGTCCTCGTTCTCGTCCTCCTCGTCTTGCTCGTCCTCCTCCTCCTGGTGTTCTCTTCCTCCTCCTCCTCCTCCTCCTCCTCCTCCTCCTCCTCCTCCTCCCTCCTCCTCCTCCTCCTCCTGGTCGGTGGTCCTCGTTCTCCTCCTCCTGGTGCTCTCCCCCCCCTCCTCCTCATCCTCCTCGTCCTCCTCATCCTCCTCCTCGTCCTCCTCGTCCTCCTCCTCCTCTTCCTCATCTCCTCCGCCTCCTCCTCCTCCTCCTCCTCCTCCTCCTCCTCCTCTCCTCCTCCTGGTATCCTCCCCCTCCCTCTCATCCTCCTCCTCCTCCTCCTCCTCTCCCCCTCCTCTGGTCGTCTCCTCCTCCTCCTGGTCGTCGCTCGTCCTCCTCCTCCTCCTGCTCGTCCTTCTTCTCCTGCTCCTCCTGCTCCTCGTCCTGCTCTGCTCGTCCTCGTCCTCCTGGTCTTGCTCGTCCTCCTCCTCGTCGTGCTCTTGCCCCTGCTGAAAATGTGGCCCAGGAGTGGGAGTTCTGGGAAGTC